ATACAATTGGAAGAATTATTAGGGGCAATTACAATTAGGTTATCCTATAAATTACCCCATTACCCCACTATTAGGAAAATTCTATTTTACACTTATTTTGTACTACAAGCATTATATTGTAACTATAGGAGATTTATTGTGCTCATTGTTGCACCTAAGTTTCAATGATAACAATAGTGCAAATCTAATCTAATCTACTTGATTACAGGAAATCAGAATGACAATGCTAAATCAGAGGGAGCCAAAGGAAATCAAGATGTCAAGGCAAATGAAACAAGATCAAGCCAGCCATTATTGTAAGCTAGTTCGTAATTCAAGGATAAGTTTGGTAAAAGAAATCGTAAGATTCTGGTGATTGATCAATCAAGTCAAGTCGCAAATAACTCCCTTAATCAGGAATGCGGAAAGGATGAAAATCATTGAATCCAGCCCATCTCTTGAGCAGGATTCAGAGGCAACCCTTGGGTCAAAACTCTTAGAATATTCCTGCCTCAATTAATGGTCAATCTGCAATAGCTAGCTCAAAAAGAAGATTGCAAGATCTCAAGACTCTCATATAAGAAGACTGAAAGTCAGAAGGAAAAGCTATGAAACTTACCACTGTTTCTATACCTTTCTAGTTCATAGTACAAACATTGTATTCTTGAGTTTACAAGTGTCACAAAAGATATAGGAAGAGTTAGAAAACAAAATAAGAGTTGTATCAAGTTTAGACAAACACTATTGCTGAAAATCGTTGGTGGTGAACAATCCAAAATCACTAATGTTATAATAAATTATTGAAGATTTAAGAGAACCCTTGTGACCCAAGAGAACTGGATGTAGGTACTACACCGGTACTAAACTAGTATAAAATTCTTGTGTCTTTAGCTTTTAATTCTACGCAACTTACTTCCGCTGCAAATCAAACATGTTGGAAAAATTTAGTCGACTGATTCTTCTTTAAGCTGACTAAGTTTTTAATTTGGCTACAATTTACCCCCTCTCTTGTACTTTTAATTGGTATCAGAGCTAGGACTTACAAGTATTGCCTAACAACAAGCGAGGAAAAGATCATGACGTCGAACACAGTCGTTGGAGCACTATTTCAAGAAGGAACTTCTTAGGTAAGACCACCCTACTTTAATGGCCAGTACTTTTCACACTGGAAAGTGGGTATGGAAACATATACAATGTCATACGACATTAAAGTGTGACGTGTGATCAAAAAGGGAAATCTTCCAATTCTCCCAAGGAAAGATAAAGATGGTGAGATCATAGTATCATCTGATCCTCTTGACTTAGATGATTACACTGAAGAACAAGCAACCGTTATTCAAGAGAATGCCAAGACTAAGAATCTCCTGTACAACGCCATAAGCGGTGAAGAGTATGAAAAGATATCAAGCTATAAAACTACTAAATAAATGTGGGACAAGTGAGAAGTCACATATGAAGGAACCAACAAAGTGAAGGAAACAAGAATAAATCTCCTGGTGCGTGACTATGAATTATTTCAAATGAAAGATGGAGAATCAGTCGAAGAACTGTTCTCTCGATTCAGAAAAATTCTCGGGGATTTGAAATCTTTTGGTAGACCAATCAGAAGTGGAGAACATGTCAGAAAAATACTAAGAAGTCTACCCACCATTTGGCAACCCAAAGTTATTGCTCTTGAATGTCAGGACCTTGACAAGATGTCATATGATGAACTTAGAGGTGATCTAATTGCTTTTGAGAAAACCCACTTATATAGGCAAGTTCATCAAGTGAAAAGGAAATTAGTTGCATTTAAAGCAACTGTGGCTGAATCAGAAAATGAAGAAGAAGAAGAAGAAGGAGGAGGAGGAGGAGAATAAGATGAAAACATAGCTATGCTCTCCAAAGTAGTAACAAGCATAATGAGGAGAAACATAAATAAAAGAATAGGTAAACCAAATTTCAGAAAAGGAAAGATGGGAAATGAAAATGACAAAAATGATGGAAGATGCTATGAATGTGGAAAACACGAACATATTCAAGCAGAATGCCCTGAACTGAAAAAGAAACTCAGCAGAAATTTCCAAAAGAAGAAGTCATTTGGAGCATGGAGTGATGAAGAAGAGTCCGATCATGAGGAAATCACCAACATGTGCTTCATGGACATAACTGATGACAGTGATGAAAACTCAAGCGAGCTGGGTCTCATGGTAGATGAAAGAATAAATGAGGTACGTTCACCTATGTGTCCTAAATGTAATGAACTTCAAGAATTTATTGATATTGATTTTATAGACATTGAGAAGGTTCTAAATGAGTTTTGAAAGATTCAACGAGAAAAGAAGACTGGGCCATGAAACTAGAAGTATGTGAAATCAAAAAAGACATGCTTCAAGAAGAAGTTCATGAACTTCAACTTCAACTGAATGGATTGAGAAAATCCACAAGTCACAGTTCCATCAAATCAAACCAGTCAACTTCTCGTAATAACTCATTTAGGGCAAAATATCATTCTGCATGCATTCATTGTGGCAAAGATGGTCACAATTCTAACCACTGCAGGTTTAGAAATAGTAGAGAAAAGACTTCTGAAAGTCTTATTAATCCATCTTATTTTTATTGCGAAAAACCTGGTCATACTTCTAATCATTGCATGTTTAAGAATAACAAAAGATGGGTTTGGCGACCTAAGGTCTCTAACCAGGCTAACAATCAGAACACTAACCGTCTAGGACCTAAGAAGGCTTGGGTACCTAAAAATAAGTAATTTGTTTCTGCAAAAATACCGCAAGAAGAATCGAAAAGGGAAATAGAATCTTGATAGCGTGTGTTCCAGATACATAACAGGTGACAAACAATAGTTCAAATCTGTCATTAAGCTCGATGGTGGATCAGTCACTTTTGGAGATAAATCAAAAGGAAATATATTTGGAGTAGGAAAAGTCCCTATCAACTCATCATGCGATGTAGATGCGGTCTACTTAGTAGTTGAACTTGGTTACAATCTACTCAGCATCAGTCAACTATGAGACAGTGACTATGAGGTTCGTTTCAAAAAACATGGTTGGTTCATTGAAGTCGAACATATAAAATCATTCTATCTGGAAACAGAGATAGAAATATCTATACTCTTAGTAATACTAATAGTCTAGGGAATCAAGTTTGTCTAGCTTTAATGATTGATGATCCCTGGGTATGGCATAGAAAGCTTGGTCATGCTAGCATGTATACTATTCAAAAACTTTCCAAACACAATCTTGTTATTGGACTTCCAAAACTAGATTTTTCTAAGGATAAAATTTGCGATGCATGTCAATTAGGAAAGCAAACTTGTTGCTTCTTTAAAGTCAAAAACACAGTTTCTACTACAAAACTTCTTCAACTTTTGTATATGGACCTCTTTAGTCCAACTAGATATGCTAGCATTGGTGGTAAAAAATATACTTTTGTTATAGTAGATGATTTTTCTCGATTCACCTGGATTATTTTTCTGAGTCATAAAGATGAAGCATTAAGGAATTTTGAAGTCTTCTGTAAGAAGGTACAGTGTGAAAAGGGATATTACATCCCTGACATAAGGAATGACCATGGAGGAGAATTTGAAAGTAGAGCCTTTGAAAACTTCTGCAATGATCAAGGAATTTCTCACAACTTCTCTTCCCCAAGATCACCTCAACAAAATGGAGTGGTAGAACACAAAAACAGAACCTTGCAAGATATGGCAAGAACCATGATTGTGGAAAACTCTCTTCCATACTACTTCTGTGCAGAAGCTGTAAGCACCATATGTCATATCATTAACAGATGCCTGATTCGACCTTTTCTCAAAAAGACACCATATGAGCTATGGAATGGTAAAAGACCCAAAGTCAGTTACTTTCATCCATTTGGCTGCAAATGCTTCATCCACAACAATGGAAAGGACAACCTTAGTAAGTTTGATCCAAAAAGTGACGAAGGTATTTTTCTTGGATACTCTCCCTCAAGTAGAGCATATAGAGTGTTTAATAAAAGAACCTTATCTATTGAGGAATCCATTCATGTTGTTTTTGTGAATACTAACCCTTGCTTAAGGAATGAAAAACTTCCTGATGATGAGAAAATTTCCGTTGTCCCAAAGTTTGCTCTTACAGGAAAGGACTGTCATAATGAGGTAACTAATCAACAAAATTAGTCGACTGAGAACCACATGGAAAACTAGGAACTACCTTATGCTGAACATTCAACTCCCATGGAAAAGGAGTTAGTCTCAGCTATCCCAAATGAATGGAAAAGTGAACCTGGATATCCCCATAAGTTCATCATTGGAAATCTACATGAAGATATTACCACCAGAAGATCTCAAAAGCTCAACTCTCATGTGGCCTTAATATCACAACTTGAGCCAAAAAAAGGTTGATGAAGCTCTCAAAGATAACTACTGGGTCAAAGCCATGATAGATGAACTTGGTCAATTTGAAAGGAATAAAGTGTGGAACTTAGTTCCAAAACCTTTTGATGCATCTACCATAGGAACTAAATGGGTTTTCAGAAATAAGCTGAATGAATCTGGTCAAGTAGTTCGCAACAAAGCAAGGCTAGTCACCCAAGGTTACTCACAGCAAGAAGGAATCGACTACGATGAAACCTTTACTCCTGTGGCAAGATTATAATCCATTCAAATACTACTTGCCTTTGCTTCTCATAAAGGGTTCAGACTATTTCAAATGGATGTAAAAAGCACCTTTTAAATGGATATATTTCTGAAGAAGTGTGTGTGAAACAACCTCTTGGGTTTGTAAAGAACAGTCTCCCAAATCATGTCATCAAGTTGTCAAAAGCCTTATTCGGACTCAAACAAGTCCCCCCCTCCCAGCCTGGTCTGAAAGACGAAGATATTTTCTATTAAATTATTGCTTCAAGCGAGGTAATATTGATACAACTCTATTTATTAAGTGCTCCAATTCAGGTAATCTTATTACTCAAATTTATGTAGATGATATTATTTTTGGAAGTTTTAACTCTGTATTATGTGAGTTCATATTATAAAAGTAGAGAGCATGATGGGAGAGCTGACTTTCTTTCTTGGATTAAAAATCAAGCAATCTTTCAAAGGAATCTTCATTAGCCAAACCAAGTACACCAAGGAGCTCATAAAAATGTTTGGAATGGAGAATGCGAAACCCAGTGGAACTCTAATGATTCCGTCAATAACTCTTAAAAAAGACAAAAACAGGAAAAGTGTCGATGCAACTATGTATAGGGGAATGATTGGATCCCTACTATATCTCACGGCTAGTCGACCAGATATAATGTTCAGTGTTTGTAAGTGTGTCAGATTTCAGTCGTCTCCAAAGGAATCTCATTTGACTGCAGTTAAACGTATCATTAGATACCTCATTGGGACCACTAAATTAGGTTTATGGTATTCCCACTCTAATAATTTTAACCTAAAAGGCTTTTCAGATGCAGATTTTGCAGGTGATTGGACTAACAGGAAAAGCACTAGTGGAACTTGCCAACTACTAGGAAATGCACTAATTTCCTGGCATAGCAAGAAACAAAATTGTGTTGCCTTGTCAGCTACTAAAGCAGAGTATTTACCTGTTGGAAGCTGTTGCACTCAAATTCTCTAGATTATGCATCAACTTCTTGATTATGATCTAAATCTTACTTCTACTCCTATTTTTTGTGATAACATGAGTGCTATATATCTATCAAAAAATTATGTGCATCATTCCAGGGCAAAGCATATAGAAATTAAGCATCATTTTATTCGTGATCATGTTGCTAAAGGTGATATAATGTTAGAATTTATTAGTACCGAGTCTCAACTTGCTGATATTTTTACAAAATCTCTTTTGGAAGAACATTTTTGTCTACTGCATAGTAAGATTGGTATTCTGCCTATTGCATAAAATTCTTTTGTATATTTGCAAAAGATTTTACTTCCTTTTTGAGTTTACTTAATTGATGGGTTTCATTAATTTGATGTGAGTGCTATTATTACCTTCCATTGGTGCCGCCGAAGCAACTCCTCAGAAGTGTCACTTAAGTCTGAACCTAACCCTTCCTCTAACCGATGCAACCCTTCAATCTTCCAAGCGCCTAAATAAGTATCCCCTCTTTTCCTATTCTTCATCACTTTTCACCAAACTCCACTACCATATCTAAGCGAAACCTCTCATTCTCTACTGCCACAAGATGAAGCAGACAGTTCCAAAAATCCCAAAACCCTGAAGAAACCGTCGACCTTAAGTCATCCCTTGACTCAGACCCCCTCATAACTGATAATGAGAGTAGTGACTCGTCATAAGATTAAATTCTAAGCCAGAAAAAAGCTAGGAAGAGACCCATGGATCAAACCCCTAAAAAACCTACATGCAAGAAAGGGAAAGTGGAAAGCACTGATTTTGGGCCAGAGGATAAATTGAACTTGTACGGTCCAACTGAGAAATCGAGGTTTGAATCTTATAAGTCAAAATCTATGGCTTATGGGCAATGTAAGTCTCTCTCTTATGAAAGATATTCATTGTGATGTGGTTTCAATTTTTGATTTTCAATGCCTTTCTCCTCTGTTTGATACTATTGGAAATTCTGTGTATGAAGAACTTGTGAGAATGTTCTATACAAATTTGTTTGTAAATGACAAAGATGAGTTGGAGTCAATAGTCCTAGGTACTCGTATTGTTCTTGATGCTTATCAATTTGAGAAGATTGTTTCTGCTAAGTTTCATGGGTATGATGTCCTTGTTCAAAACTCCTGGCCAAAAGATTTTTAAGTGTCCTTAGATGAAGCAAAAACTTTTCTGTTTGAAAACCCCCTGACATTGGGCCTAAAAGTCTTAAGTTTGAACATCGTGTGTTAGCTCACATGATTGCTACTACTCTTCTTCCTTGGACTAGGTCTTTCAGCACTTTAACCACTAGGGATATTTTTGTCCTATACTGCCTTGTGAACAACAAAAGGCTTGACTGATTTGTGTATGGTTTGCTTATCTCACATATTCTTGAAGTAATGAAGGTTGATCTAGCACCTTTCTCTCTTAACTATATCTCAAGCACCTATGATAAGACAACCTTTGCTATGATGGGCTACACTTTAAGTGAAGATGGATGTGTTAGACGTGCCAAGATTGGAAGCACTCCAATACAGGTTGAGCCAACCACTGAACCACCGGAGCCTCAGTCGACTGCTACCAACAACTTACAACAAATTCAGTAAGGACTAGATGGGGGTAAAAACCATGCTCATTGCCATGAAAGAACATGTGGACAAGATCAGGGAGATAACTAAATAAATAGGTACAAATGTGGCTAAGCTTATGATGGACATGGGAGCCACAAAAAGGCAAGGAATCAGGGCATTCAACTCCATGACAGAGAAGATGGACAAAATCACCAAAGAAGTTGAAACCTTCTATGACACTTTTTGCACCAAAGTGATCAATACCCTGAAATACTTTCTGGGGAGGAACTAAGGTCGATGTGTGTGTGTTTAAAACAATTTCGTTTGGTACTATTTTTTTTTGTTTGATTTTGCCTTGGTCTATTATAAACATCACTATGTGCCTCCACTGAAGGCATAATATCTTCTACCCTAACTGCTATGTTGATTATCTGCTATATTACATATTACTTTCTACCTGCACTTTCTTCTTTGTTTTTAATTGATGTCAACGGGGGAAAATATTAGAGTAAAGTAGAATAGAGCAACAACTCAGGGGGAGCAGCAGTGGCATGTGGCATCAAAATTCAAGTGTGTGCATAGAATCAGGGAGAGCCCTCACATAAAAGGAAAATGTGCTTTGTTTACTCTTTTCGATTGCCATCAACAAAAAGAGGAAGATTGTTACACCTAAGTTTCAATGATGACAATAGAAAATCTAATATAATCTTTTTGATTGCAGGAAATCAGGATGACAATTCTAAATTAGAGGGAGCCAAAGGAAATCAAGATGTCAAGGCTATCAAAAAGGAAACAAGATCAAGTGCAGCCGCTATGGGAAGCCAATTCGTAATTCAAGGATAAGTTTGGTAAAAGAAATAGGAAGATTCTGGGGATTGATCAATCAAGCCAAGTCGCAAATCACTCCCTTAATCAGGAATGCGGAAAGGAAGGAAATCATTGAATCCAACCCATCTCTTGAGCGGGATTTAGAGGCAACCCTTGGGTCAAAACTCTTAGAATATTCTTGCCTCAATCAATGGTCAATCTGCAACGGCTAGCTCAAAAAGAAGATTGCAAGATCTCAAGACTCTTATATAAGAAGACTGAAAGTCAGAAGCAAAAGCCACACAATTTACCACTATTTCTATACCTTTCTAGTTCTTACTACAAACACTGTAGTTTTGATTTTACAACTGTCACAAAACATAGGAAGAGTTAGAAAACAAAACAAGAGTTGCGTCAAGTTTAGAAAAACACTGTTGCTGAAACTCGTTGGTGGTGAACGATCCAAAACCACTACTGTTGTAACGAATTATTGAAGATCTAAGAGAACCCTTGTGACCCAAGAAAACTGGATGTAGGTACCACACCGGTACTTAACCCTTATAAAATTCCTATGTCTTTACCTTTTAATTCTACGCAACTGACTTTTGATGCAAATCAAACCTGCTGGAAAAGTTTAGTCGACTGATTCTTTTTTAAGTCAACTAAGTTATTGATTTGGCTACAATTCACCCCACCCTCTTGTACTTTCACTCATTTTTCTAGCAATTCAAGGCTTGGATCACTAAGAATCTCTTTCTCTTATTCATTATCTATTTTGCTTAACTATTTAGCTTGTTAATTTTATTACGTTAATTTCATCATATTCGTATCAACACGGGTTTAGCTATTTTGGTTTAATTGGTTGTGGCCTAAAAATATAAGTTATTTTGCTCAGCCTATTAAACATATTTTAGATTAAATAGTTTGTGCCCACTATGGGGCCCAAGCAATTGCGTAATTATTCCAAAGTTTTCTGATCCTTTGATTGATTTTCTCTTTGTTGTAGTGACACATCATGGCTGAAGATCAAAGTAGGTTATTGATCCATGTCCAATCCGCACTCAATAGTAAGTGGAAATGGTTGTCGGAAGAATAGCACCCAACAAGAGTCCGGGTCTATTTCCATAGGGAGTTGAATATGGGTGTTAAGGGTATAGACTTGACGAGAGTAAATAAAATAACTAAATTTCACTTCCAACCAAATGGGTAAAAAGCCTAGGGATGTGACCTTTACCTAGGTGTTCGCCTAATAGGTTAAATACGTTAACACTTATTTTATTGATCGGGGGTGTATTATAGCTCTCAACTCTAAGTTACCCACTAAATACCTCTCGGTCATAGAGTGATTTTGCCTAATTTTTCTTACTCAAGCCCAAATGAGTATCAAGCTAAATGGTTGATATAAGCTCAAGTCGGGTTTTCTCTATCTCTAGTTCAAACCCTTTAATTAGGCTAATCAAATTTTTAATTAGCCCAATTTCTTGTTAGCCAAGCTTTCCTAGACTACGTCCCTCTTTCTCATATAAAGACCAAGTCAAAAAGGCATGAATCAATATTTGCAACCATTAATTCTAAAATTAAAGCATACACAAGGCTAAATAATCGACACCCAATCATAAACAAGCATTAAACTAAATACCCATAAGGTTTATGCACTAGGGTTGGGTCATAACCCCAGTAAAAGTCTAGCTACTCATAATTGAAAATGAAGAAAACAAAGAAGAAATACTAATTAAACTCATAATCTAAGATTAAAATGATAAATATGATGTTTAAAACCCAAAATAGTCACAAACTTCCTAAAATAGCAAAATACAACGGCTACAACTGCACAAACTTCAAAACGTGACCTAAAAATGTGATTTCCGTCTATTTATAGTGGCCCAAAATTCGCTGATAAAAATGCCCCTCGGGAGGTTCTGCAGCCGCACAATTCTATGTGCAGTCTGCACATTGCCTCAGCTTGCAGAGACTTTGAATTTGCAGCCGCATAATTTGGTCTGCGGCTGCAATGCATCTTCTGCGGCCGCACAATTCTTGTGTGGTCCGCACTTCAAGCAAGGCTTCAAGTCTTGGTCATTTGCATACTCTCTGAACTTTGAATTCTTTGTCGAGGTGTGATTCATAGTTTTGACATTTTTTGATTTGATTTGAGGCCTTGAGTAGGTCCGCGCTGTATTATGAAACTAGTTGGTATGTTCGGACAGGGCCCCAGGTGTGTTTCAGACGGGTTTCAGATCATTTAGATCATGTTTAGAGAAGCTGGTTTGGGCAGGGGTCTAGTTTGGTCGCACCTGCGGACCCCTGGGAGCAGGTGCATTGATCGCAGGTGCGGAGGAGAAGGGGCGCAGATGCAGATCAAGGCTGGAAGGGGGAAGACCGCAAAAGCGGATGTTTGGGCGCACCTGCGCATTCGCAGGTGCGGGATGCTGAGCGCAGAAGCACACGCGTAGAAGCGCATATGCTGTCGCAGAAGATAATTTAGCTGAGGTAAGGCATTTACGCAGAAGCGGATAAATTTCCGCAGAAGCGGCCGTCGCAGAAGCGACCTGCTGACCGCAAAAGTGGGATCCCTGGGCAGAATCATATATTTCGAAGGGTTTGAGGATTTTATCATTTTTGGACTTGTTGACCTTGGTT